TCGCGCGAATCGCGCTCTCCATCGGTCCCAGTTTTGATCGGCCGATCCTGTCCGTTAGAAAGTCGCACATATCAGCAAGATCGTGGGTGGTTTTAGCGACTGCGATGTGAGAGAGTCATATGTTCCGCAGACGGCGTCATCCGCGATGCAGGCGTATTCATCATTCACTCGCAACTAGCATCGGTCGACTAAACCACGTTTGAGGACTAGTAGCGATCCCACTTGGACGTGATCAAGAGGAAGGGAGTGAACACCAAAAGTACACACTCCCTCGACCCATGTGCTAAACGTTGTAAAAACATATCCTAAGAGGCGGTTCCAACAACGCGCCTTGCAGTACTTGGTTGCAATTTGTGCCAGGGCATCTGATCGTCGTTGATATAGGTTGCGGTGTGACGAATGTATGGATGAATTAATTCAGCATGCCAGTGAATTATCCAAGTCACTTGCTTCCACCCCGTGAACAACTGTACTCGCGTTCTATCTCCTATAATTGGTAATATGTAAGGTCACACGGGCGTGGTATATACCGATCACTGCTGACTGCGGAGCCAAAATGAGAGTTTCCGTTTTTTTGTGGAACCTCAGGCTTCAGCTCGCACACTAACGTTTGGGTCAGGCATTCAACAACTATCTGGACCCAGGCTCAAACATCAGATGTGCCAACATCTGGGGTTTGCGTAGTACCGGCTGATGACAGCTAAAGAGTCGGAAGCGGCCGTTTTGGTCCTCTCCTAGATTTTAGTAGTCGTGCGGTCAATAACCTCCAAAATCGGCACTCCCGATTTTCGCCCTTTAATCAAGATAAATCGATGAACGTCACTTTAATGCAATACTGAACCGCTGTTAATATTAAAGCTCCTAATCTTTCCCCCTTAAACAAAGTCAAATATTTTAATCTAAGCAGGCCCCACTTCTTTACATCCTTAGTGATCTTTCTAACGTAAATACTTCAGTCCCCTTTCCCTTAAGGTTGTGAACGCCGGGCAGACGGGTTGCCCCGGGAAGACGGGTTGCCCGTTAGACTAGCTGCTGGCTACCCGGCGCGTCCACAGGTGGCGGATAGTGGGACGACCTTCAGTGAAGGTTAACTGCGAAATAAGCAGACCCAGGTCTGGCGAATAAGCAGTCGCGGACCAGCAGCGACATTGATACCTGGGTGCGGTGGGCTGAGGTCTGGCACGCTGAAAGCCTTATAAAAAGCCCCAAAACCCAATGACGGCATTGTGACATGGCGACCGTAAACCGCCATTAAATAAGTTTACTTGCCACCGCTGCCTTGTGGTTAGGCTTTTAAGCTAAAATGCCAGAGGAGACAACCTCGAACAAACAATCCGAACGGCTGTTGGGAATCCGCCTGTATTCGAAATTCCCAATAAACCTCATGAAATATGTCCGATCACAGTATTACGACCCATGCTACGACGTCCGCGGGAACCGACGCGCTCCGCAACCCTGGTTCAGTGGTGCGGGCGAATAGTATGCGAGCTGGACTACTCAATAGTGGACGGACTCTCGGTATTGGATGCTGGAATGTGCGAACGTTCCTGGATTCCGGTACCCAAAGTCTGACCGCACGCAGCCTTTACCAGTACACCGTGGATGTCTGCTGTCTGTCTGAAGTTCGACTCCCTGACTCGGGCTCCCGTGAAATAAAGATCCTGGGAGTCGAATCACATTTCAACCAGTACCACAGCGGCCCGCGCGATTCTTCTGGTCGACACGGTGTGGAGATCGCCCTATCACAACAAGCGGACCTTTCGCTACTTGCTTGGGAACCAGTCAACGACCGGATGGCTTACGTGCGACTGAAGGGTCACTTCACGAACATCTCCGTCGTCTCTGTGTATGCACCAACTTCGGCTGCCGAACAGCACGATAAAGAGGCGTTTTACTCTCAGTTGCAAGCGCTAGTTGAAAGTCTGCCTCGCCGCGATCTGCTGATTATTGCTGGCGATTGGAATGGTCGAACTAGACCTGGCGACCCCACAACCCGTCATCTTGTTGGCCGCTTTGGGCTTGGTTCCCCATGTGAAAATGGTGAGAGATTGCTGAACTTCGCTGATCGAAACCGACTGCTTGTCACCAACACATGTTTCCAGCATCGCAAAACACATCTACTGACCTGGTATTCAAACGACGGTCATGCGGCCAGTCAGATTGACTAAATACTAGTCGGCTCAAGGTTCCGCAGCTGGGTTCACGATAGCAGATCGATGAGTGGTGCGGAGACTGGTAACGCCCATGGGTCCGACCATGTCCTCGTCCGTACACGCCTGAAAGTTCCTCTCTCATCCGCGCCAAAACATGCCACGTCCTAGACGCCTCGATGTCGCAAAAATCAGGCAAGCCAGAAATGTCGATGCCCTAAGCAGAGAAATCCGGACCTGTTTTACGACCCGGGCCTACGGAGAAGTCAGTAACCAGTGGTCGCCACTGAAGACTTCAGTCTATGGGGCAGCTGAGAAAATCCTTGGATACACCCAGCGACGCCGCGGTGACTGGATCAGCGGAACAAACCTGCAGTTGTCTGCTCAGGCGGCTAGAGCCAGGTCCTGCAACGATGATTACTTCCGCCAACTTCGGAAGATGACGGCAAAATCGGCCAGAGATGACCGGAAGCAATATTGGGCTGAAATAGCGACCCCCATGGAACAGGCCTCAAACGTTGGAGACAATCGAAAGTTCTACCGTCTGATCCGCCAAGTTAGCGGTGAGCTCTCTACACTGAGTGACTCTGTTTACGATGTGAACGGCGGCTCTATTGTTGGCAACTCGGCCAAAGTCGAGCGCTGGTGCGAGCACTTTGAGCACCATCTCAACTTCGATACCCAACCACCCTCGTCCTTGCTCTTCCCTCTCCTACCTATGCAGTGCCATGCGATCCCCCCTCCGAGGGGGAAGTCGCCGATGTCATACGAAAGTTGCACAACAATACGGCACCCGGAGAGGACGGTATACCCGGTGAAATCCTCAAGTCTTGTGTCGACACTCTGGTGCCCTGGCTCCATGAGCTGATTGAACGAGCGTGGAGAGACGAGGTTGTTCCTGATGACTGGGGCTTAGGCATCCTTGTACCTATCCTCAAGAAGGGAAATAAGACGAGATGCGAGAACTACCGCGACATAAGTCTCATCGACGTTGCTGCGAAGATCTTCGCTATTGTCCTACTCAGGCGATTCCAGGCTGTGCGTGACTCAAGGACGAGGCCCAACCAAGCCGGATTTCGTGCTGGACGTGGATGCGCAGATCAGATATTCACACTGAGGCGCATTCTCGAATTTCGCCATAGCTACCAACAACCGACGGCCGTCTGCTTCATTGACTTTGCCGCCGCGTTCGATTCCGTTCACCGTGAGTCCCTGTGGCGGATAATGGCGCTAGATGGTGTACCGGCAAAAATCATCGCCATGATCAAGGCCTACTATCGCTCCACTATTGCGAGAGTCCTGGTCCGCAATAATCTTTCCCAACCGTTCGGTATTCCGGTCTAGCGTCCGACAGGGTTGCCTCCTGTCACCCATACTGTTCAACTACGCTATTGACTGGATCCTCGGCAGGGCCCTACGCGAGAGTGACGGCGTTGAGTTTGCACCCGGACACCGGCTGGCTGATCTCGACTATGCCGATGATATCGCCGTACTTGCTTCAATTTTTGGTGATCTGCAGTCTATGGTGTCACGGGCGAACGAGATCGCTAAATCGGTCGGTTTGTCCATAAACGCTGGGAAGACCAAAGTGCTCTCAAGCTGCATCACTGACCAGGAAAAGGCACCCCTCGGGGTTGATGGCTGTCAACTTGAAGAAGTAGACAGTTTTAAATACTTTTGGGAGGCGGAGGTTGCTACCTAATGGATAAATTAAGGACGACATTGTCTCGCGAATCGATGCTGCCCGCTGGGTTTTCTCAAGCCTTCAGAAATGCCTGTGGAATCGACGTGACCTCTCTATCGCCAATAAGACTCGCTTGTACCCTGCATCTGTCCGGTCTGTCCTTCTCTACGGTTGTGAATGCTGGGCTTTGCGCCATGGAGGACGAGCGAAAACTGGAGGTATTTGACCACCACTGCTTGAGGACCATCTTTCGAGTGAAGTTTGCCGACTTCATCTCAAATGAGACAGTCCGCGCTCGCTGCGACAACATCGCAGGATAACTCAGGTCATCCAAGGAAGACGACTGAGGTGGTTCGGGCATGTTCTTCGTCGTCTACCTCAGGAGCTCAGTGTTACTGCCCTCGATCCGACACCGTTGCCCTATTGGAGGTGTCGAAGAGGGGGTCAGTTCAAAACCTGGCTCGACACAGTTCGTGAAGACATGGAAATGGTTCTTGAACCTTCAGTATTCGATCTCCGTCGTTGGCGAAGAGAATGGGTTGAGCTGTCCAGATCTGCTGCCGCGGATCGTCACTCGTGGACAGGTACAGTTCGGGACATCATCGAGGCCGGCTAGATCAGGCATGATCGCAGCCGTATCAAGTGCAAGTACAAGTAAGTACCTATCTATCTAGAAAGTTTCTGTGGGCAACTTCTAACTTCCTATACTCATCGATATCGGTTGTGGATTTCCTCCGGCAAAGAGACCTCTAACGCGTCGTAAGACCTATTATTTTGGATGAACATTTTTATTAACTGAGATTGACTTGATTTTTGCCTATCGGGGCGGTTCTATCTCCACAGACCAAACCGATTCTCCTACTGCCACCGCCCGTCAGCCAAGTCTCAGAGAGACCTTATTTAGTATTCTATCGGTTCCTGTTTGCACTCTAGAAACCTTTTGGTCATAGAGAAGTGTACTTCTTGACTCTGCATACTTATCTGTCTCTGTATACCTTTCTGCGCTAACTATCCATGTATTATCAGTACTGGAATTTTTAGTGCCTTTTTCATAACTGGGGATATATCGTAGGCTACGTAGCCAAATACAGACATTTTGCGAACGCCTTAAACCATTACTTTATGCACCGAAATATGTAAACTATATGAAAGTAACCTAGAACTGGTCCTAGTAAGATGGCACAAATTAGGGCTGTTGCTTTTGAGACGAAACTCAACTTACTGCTTTGCCTGAGGAAGGGCGTTTGACAATTGCTGCTGTAGTCATCTTTCCTCTCGGTCTCTTTTCCGACCCGATGGTACGACTAAGTTTGCGATCATTGTACGACAGTTGGATCGTCGTTGCTGACGATGTCCACCGTGTGCTCCACAGCAAGGTGACTTGCGTCGCATCTACCGCACTCTCTCCTCCTACCCCTTCACCTGGACCCGGTTTCAAGACATAGTCAGGAAGACTGAAGGTTGGGGAGGGCACAGATGGTTGGCGCGGCCGAGCACGCGTCTAGGCGTACCACAAAACGTTCTGGTCCACAACAAAAACTTGGCCAGGATTTTAACTAACAACAACACCCCAACAAGGGTCAGAAGGACGAGGATGATGACTGGGCAGCCATGTCCACCACCTGTATACCCAGCGGGAGTGCGAGCCCATCTACCGGCAGGAAACCAGGTGTCAGGGAACTGCCAGCGCATACCTGGCTGAAAGGGTCATGGCTTGCTGAAGCATGGAATAGCAGGCGCACGCAGACATTAGAGCCTGGGCCATCGCCCTTCATCGTATTATTAGTATTACGGCCATTGTAAAAACTGTCGAACTATATATCATACTTTCCTAGCTCCTAGTTGTTGTCAACACTCCCATTCGGTTGCACGATGGCACATCTGTGGAAAACAGCGAAAGCTGGGAAGAAGTTTATTCTTATTGCCTAAATTTTGTTGAGAACTCAAGTTGAAATTGTGGATTTACCGGCGGGCGGCAACCAAGAAGTTTCCTCGGGGCTCGTGGACTTTTTCTAGGCGTAAAAATGTCTTACGAGGAAAATCGAAAATGACGACCAGTGAATAAGCATTATAAACAAAACAAGGTAGAAGTGGAATGTGCAATGACAAGGACAGTGACGTCACGAGATTTGATAACTACACCCGACTGCTCACCTGCGTCCAACCGATCCTTCATTCTCATGATTCTTCTACGCATGGTAGCTGGATGATGGACGATGCCCACGCACGCGATGCGTTTGTGGCCTCGGACACATTTCTTATGTACGGTAGGGAGCGACAAATTGTTGGTCTCTCTCTTCTCTTTGTCCGTCGTGGGTGTGTGCGTATGCAGCGGCTGAGGAAACTACTTGGGTAGCCGTTCTTTTTCAATTGGTCCCTGAGATGCCGTATTTCTTGCATCCTTCCTTCGGGTTCCCTACAGTGATTTTTTATCCGGTCGGAAAGCGCCCTCACACAGCCCCGTTTGTGCACCAAAGGGCGGTTGCTATGCTAGTTGAGGACCTGGGTTTTAATGGTTGCCTTTCTGTACACTGTAATGTTGCGTTTACCATCAGGTGTGCGCGTGACGAGCACGTCAAGGAAGGGTAATTTCTCGGCCTCCTCGTCTTTTCTTGTAGACTGAATGTCGAGAAAGATGCTGTTAAGCAGGCCTTGAAAACCCGGTAGCCCGTCCTTTTCAATAACGAAGAATTTATCGTCAGCGTCTCGGCGCCAAAACGCCTCCGCCTCTAAAGGTGTTTCAGATACGCCGATATGAATGACCCGCCGTAGAAGCCATACTAAGTTGTGCACGGCGTTTGCGTTTAGAGATGACCCAGGTTGGTTTTAATGTTGACAGGGATTTCAGCCTGTGTTCAGTCAAATTCAGTGTAGCCAGGTTTAGTTTCGAGTTCGTTCCAGGGACAAGTTTCTGGCAATGCGACTTGCCTATGTCAACCGTCAGCTTCGAATGAATCAAATATTTCTACTAATTGAAGAGAATATGCGCATCCCAGGTTCTTGTTTAAAAGACGACGAAGGCACGATCACTGGGGCGGTAGCTTTTTTTGTTTTAGCTTTCGAACTCGAACAGAAGTTCATCATCAGAGACTGTTAAAGTGCAACAACGTGTGAAAATTTATACCATTGTGCCGTGAAGGGAGGACTACGTCCATAGGCTAGGTCTAGTTTCTGCTGCCTGGCCCACAATTGCCCTAAAGGGCTATTAACATTTGCTCAAATGACATACTGAATGATGAACTTTCACGACCCAAAGGACCTCTGCTTAACCGTTGATGTCCTGCACGTTTCATCCACAAGTACAGCAACTCCACACGGCCAAAATTGACAGAACATTTAGTTCCGAAAAAGCCCGTTTTTATATCCTTGCCATTTAAGGACGACAATATTTTAAATACTATCAAACGACTACTGCGTTCCACCATTGAAAGGACATACAATGCAGCCGAACTCTTATTATACAGTCCTACTAAGCTTCTTCCAATTCCATGGGCTAAGGAGGACTTGCCAATGCACGCCACTTCAAATCCTGTTTATGAATTCACATTCACTTGCGGATGCAAGTACACTGGGCGAACGCAAATGTCATTGGCAGCCAGGTCTCACGAACACCTGCTTAGATGGTCCCTAAAGTAAGAAAATAAAATCCCCGGTTCCTCCATTATAAAATATTTACCTTCGTCGACCTTAAAACTTCCTTCCGAATACTTGTTCGGACAGGAACAACTCGGAAATTGCATAACCTGGAGGCGGCCTATATACGGCGGGTGAAACGAGATCTTTGTTAACAGTCAGGGCACGTGGTTAACCTAACCTCGCCATGGCAGCATTTAGCTCCATGATTTTCACTCCCCCTTTCTCCTTGATTGTTAACGCTTTTTTTCCACTATTCTCATACTGTGATTGAATTACTAATTTTATCGATTGGTCGGCTTTACCCAAAACAATGATCTTGTTGTTTCTGCATTGATTTTCTGTATGAATTCAAATCCGTTGTATTCTTCCCACTCGTTATCTCTGTTATGAAGCGAAGGGGCGCAGCTAACGAGACGTCGCGAAATTTCCTGCTACCACTAAATCCTGCACTGCTTGTCTGCTTCAGCGTCGTACCGGGGACAAAATGCTTAAAACCATATGTACCATTGGGAATCATAGTGCCATTCACTAGATCGCCCGCATGCCAAACGCTTATCCAGGCACCTGAGGCACCTCGCCGATGAGTCATATTTCGGCGTCGCAAACTCTCAGGCATTCCTTACATGCCTGCAAGACTATCCGATCGACATTCCAATACAATACGTCTTAAAAATGCTTGTACTCTGTCTCAATAACTTTTGCTAGTTCAATGGCAAGTATTGTCAACGGGTTAGGGGCACCTTACTGGTTTTACCAATTTCGGGGCTGCTCGCAGAACCAGATTTGCCACGAATAGAAGAGGATGTTTTATAAAGTTTTCAGCAAAAGTGTGGCCCCTATACGTGGATGACATATCCGTCATCGTCAAGATCAGTGAATTTGAACAATTCCATCAGAGCCTGAATGGCGCCTTCCCAGCTCTAAAATCCACCGGCGAAGAAGCGAGAGGAAACACCCCCGTGCCTAGACGTGTGCATACAAAAGACTCAGTGGTGTTAGCCTCGTCACACGCGTTCACCGAGAA